CACCTCCGTATAAACCAAACCGTCTGAGAACAACAAATGTCCGCATAAGTGTTTCCCAGCCGTCGGTGGATCTGACGTTTCACTCTGCAGGCACACGAGTGCACTTTCACATGAAAGAATGAAGGGCCGGTTGCTCAAACATGTGGCTCGCAGCGAGATACACTTCACAAAGGCGCTTTGAGCTCTTCGCGTGCAATGAATGACCGTGTCGGCTAAGGTCGCCCGGGGAAAGTAAGCCATACATTTACGCAAACATACAAGATCACACAAATTCGAAATCAGTCAATGTGCTGTGGCTCATTTGGGGTGTGTGAAGCAGCCTTTTGGAGAACGAGACTGACCCATTCGTGACTCACTTGACTCCCCGGGTGAAGACACGAACGAGTGACTGGGCCTCCACAAGACTTTGGGTGGATCAAGTCACTATGAGATTAAATTTCCTTTTTGCTCAAGCAGAATTAAGAGCTATTTGCTGACACCTACTGGCGTCTCGCGTCGAGCATGCAAGGTGACCGACCACTGGCTTGCGAGCATAGAACTCGTGGTCTCATCGCTCACGAGGACTAGTCCATCATTTCGGTAACAAAAAACGAGGCGGGGATCAAGGCCTGCTTTTACACACAATTATTCTCCTCATTTATTAAAAAAGACAGTTACTAAACACAGTCCTCCGAGCCGTACAGGCGGACCTCGTAGGGTTCTTCTGATCGATTTCAATGCGGTTGTCCGGAATTTTGAAAGCAGAGCGCGGTAACCGCGCCGTAGTCGTTCGTGTGACACCAACCTACTGCGTTAGCAGACCTAATCCTGCTTAACTACCACTCCCCCCATTGCCTTCCGTGACTTGATCATTGATTCGTTATTTTGTGTGTACTTCTTCTGCAGAGTTACAGTACACACCATAATTGTGGCCTGCCTCATGAATACGCCAGAAACTGTAGCACACTACGTAGCAAACTTCGCCACCTTCCCCAAATAACCGGAGGCCAGAAGCGAGCAGCTTTGGTTGAAGCATCGGTACTCACACCAGTCAAACTCATAAGTACAAATGCCTGCGTCCAGGCCTCTAGTTCTGCCGATACTTCTTCGCCGCACCGTGAGCTACTGTGGAAAATATGTCTCTCCTCGTGCTCCACAACAGTGGTAAGCTCCACAGGCTCATCAAAAGCCAAGGAAACAAGCATTCGTTCAGCAGCCGACTGATCGCGCTACACTCACTAAATCAGCTGCTGTCTAGATAAATATAATTGAAGCGGATGGTGCAGAAGTTAAACCAACCACAGCACTGGAGCAGTGTCACGCCACCCCTTCGGGAATAAGCAGGCGGCATTCATCCACACGGAAAAACAATAAATATCAAGAAAGCTGGGGCGCCCATTACGCCATCCGAGCTGGAGGTCTTGCAAGCAGTGCCTTCGGGACGTTCGCAAGGTCAACTGTCTTCAGCTTGAGAAGGCGAGCGGCCCTGAAGCACAAGGGAAGCCGGCAAGAGTACTGACAATGGCTCGACATGAAGATAACCTTGTACGCCGACCCGCTAGATGCTTAAGACGCAACCGCTGCGAACGGTCCACAATGTGTTCAACTGTTCAGCGTATGAGCACAGTTATACAGCCGCTTCACCTCTCCTCAGGCCTCCCACCGCATTTCCAACCCAGCTGTCGGAGCTTCTCCTTAACCACTGTGGAAAAACAAAAAAGTTTACACAGAAAAATAAGCTACATTCACACTAGCCTCGGGAGCAGCTCGAATCAACATACATGGCAAAAGCCCAGCAAGGAAGCTTAGGTTATTGTGAGCGTCGGCGAGGGCAGCACTAAATACACTGTACCAAAGCATTGCCACAAAGTCGAAAAAATAAAGATGCACATCGGAGCATGGAAGCGTGAAAGGACGCACCATCCGCATCTACGGCCTTCAAAAGCTCCTCAGCGGTGCTGAAGCGGCTCACGTCCAGCTGCTGCGCCTCTCTCACCACCCTTTCAGCAACAATTGCTACCCGCGCGGCTTCAGCCTCGGCTTCTGCCTTTCGCCGACGTTCTTCCTCCTGTGCAGCCCTCTCCGCAGCAGCTGCTGCCCGGGCAGCTTCAGCCTCGGCTTCCGCCTTTCGCCGACGCTCTTCCTCCTGTGCAGCTGAGTTCTTGAGACGCATCTGCTCCAACTGCTGCATCAGCGCCGTCGCCTGCGCGTCGGGCTTGGGACTCAAGGAGAAACCACCCTTATCTCTAATGCTGCCACCAAAGCCTGACGGATATTTTGCAGTTCCTGACGTGTTCGGGAAAGCTCTCCCACTGCTCGTAGCCGCTGCCCGTTCGTTCAGGGGGTTGTTCGTAGCGGTGGCTGGGCCACTCGCTCCATTGGCATCATTACTAGAACTATGGGGAGAGGAACTTCTGTTGCCAGTCTCATTGCTGTCTAGTTCGCTGGGCTGTCCATCTGAATCAGTGTCAGACCACTGGTCATCTTCGCTATCGAGCTCTACAGCATCACGAAGCTGGGAGAACAAGGCACGGTTCTGTGGTGTCGCAGCCCGATTGCGCTGCTCCGCTTCCATTTGCCTTCTGCAGGCACGTTCAGCATCAGCAAGATGTCACAAACTAGGCAAATAAAAGAAAACCCATAAATACTGAATGTTACGCATGGTAATGAGAAGTGGAAGCTCAACCAGCCAACTAACCACTAGTACGGAAGACAATCAAACGTCCAGAGCAAGTGCAGAGCGACTCGGGCAGCCGCGTAACCATACCGCAATGCTGTTTGCTGTTTAAGGCCATCAGCAACAACTGACGGCATCTGGGAAACCTGGGCTAACTGTTCGGAGATAAAATCGGGGTCTACAGAAACAGCTGGCTTTGCTTCCTGCGTAGGGAATGGAGGCAAGTCACGCAAGAAGGGCGCAGCGCTGACATATGCCATGAAAACATTCCAGCGCCCATCCTGCAATGACACTATGGTAAAGTTTGACAAAAATTGCGCCTTAACTAGGGTTCTACAGCCTTTGCAGCAACCTACTGGCTCCTGATTTTCTGGTGCGCCGTGCGTCAGTGCGGCAACCAACGCATCTTCCTTCCTTTTTTTCTCCATCCATTCTTTAATACGAGTGACCACTTGGGCCTGTCGAATTCTCCTCCCTGTTAAGTCTCTACAAAAAAAGTCGGCGAAGCAAGCAACGTAAAGCATATATCTCATGAACAGGGGCTCCGTAAAAGTACAGTAACCCTTATATGAAAGGTTGTGAAGGCTAGTCCACGCACCCGACCCGAAACCGTCAGCCATTTCGGCGTGGCTCAACACAAAACTCACCTGCAGGCATCAATCGAGAAATTCGCTCGTTTTTTCCTTCGTTGTTTCTTCAGTAACGCACCAAAACCACCCTTTCCTCCCGGCAGCCTCAAGAGTAACCAGAGCGAACAAAGAGGCGAGCCACGTTCTGTTTCTGATTTCGCTTCCGGTCTCTCCTTACCGCCCCAATCTGCCGCTATTGCATATGCTGCTTCGGTGCCAACAACTTTTTCTAGCGGGAGGCACGTATTTGGATGTACCTCCCGTTGCTGCAGCACCAAGCGTAGCTTGGCAGCCGCCACTTCTGCCGGGAATCCAGCGCGTGCTGCCGCCAAGGAAAAGATGAAGTATCCCGGAACAAAAAGTCCCGTAGCTGAGCCCTTGGTTACAGGAGATAAAGCTAGTCTACCTGCTGAAGCTGTTTCTGGACTTGCGCAGCACACGCACTTCGCCTCTTCGTCAGTGAGAAGCGGGAGATCTTCCAGGGGAAGGGACACAACAGAAGTGCTCCCCCATGGCAAATTTACAAGGAAGGTGACACTGCGGCGTCCGTTACTTGCCACTGCCACTGGATGAAGGGAAGTGGTTTGATTCGGCTGAACCTTCAGTATGCTAAAAGCACTTTCGGCCCCGAAGGGAGCAGCATCAGGCCGCAGCACCGCGAGCGAAGCCATTTCTACCCTTTTTCACTCAATAATAAGGCCTCACTACAAATACTGGCGACAGTCACTGAGACCCTGGAGAGAATGCAGGATTACAAGAGCTGACTTCAGTGCTTGCCGTAAGCAGCCACGCCCTTTGGCTCCACGTGGAGTATCTGCAAAAAGCCAGACTATATAAATGTAGCAGTTTATGTGCAAAGGAAGTCGCGTTGGGTGAACTGGTGGAAGTGATTAGATACTTTGTGGAGGAGGCTGAAGAGAAGCGCATGCAGCAGCGGGCCCCCCAATGAATCAGTCCCTTCAATGGCGGGTCAGTTTAGCGCAGCGCGGGACCCTGTCTATAAGTTTTAAATTGCCTTATCCATCATTTCCCCTGTGGGAATTCATATGTAACTGTGACCTCCGGGTTGTGCTTCGGAGAAGCCAGGGCGTGGTTTCCCGCTGGCAGGAGCCACCGACCGTCGTGCCGTCTTTGCACTGACTGAGGCCAACTGTATGGATAGGTACGAGTGTCTATGAAGTGTATCATAAGAGGGTTCTTGAGCCTCCAGGGGTAAACAGTGTGCGAAGAGGAGGGACAGCCGCTATGTTTGTGCAGCCGTCGCCGATCCCATTTGCAGCGCAATTGGCTCACAACGTGCATTCAGAGCAGCTATCATTCACAGAAACCCCACGAGCGCTTCAGGCAGCTTTGGAGGGGAAAGAAAGGACCCCACAATTTTTCCGCCATAGGATACCGCCCCCAATTGGCGCAACCTGGGCGAAAGTGCAGTGACCAAGTCATCCCGTCTTGGACCTTGCCGGAGAGTGCCGGCGCTCCATTCACTAGCCTTGTCTATCACAGCACGTTGAAAGGAGCGAAAGTACGACAAAGATCAAGCCCAACAGTTGCATGAGGAGCGCGAGGTTGCAAGGCTGGTTTAATGAGGCGCCGGGATCACCTGAATTGGACGGGAGAAGGTGACGAAAATAAGCGCACATATATTTTTCTTGTTTTCCCCGGAATTTTGGGACTGTGTTTGAAGCTTCTGGAAGCCCAATCTGGGCAACGGGAAAATGTCATTTGGCTTCACTCGTTCCACAACGGAATCGGCCAACTACTATTCAAAGCAAAATTCAACTGAGCTTCCAAATGGACCGTCGGATTCAGTGTCTCAGCTGGCATGGGTAGGTGTCGTTGTCTCTCTGCATCAATGTAGGCTGAGCAATTTCGCGATGCGTGAGTGGCCTACAGCGCTGTGTTCAGTTGCTCCTTCGATGTCCATATGCGGCGACAATTTGTTGTGCGTTTCAGTCTCGTGATGGGCAGGCACTGGCCTGTGCTTCGTGGGACCGAACATGCCGGGTCTGGCAAATAACAACTCAACCTGCGGCCTTTGGCAGCAGTGGCCAAAGCGTTTACAAAGGGAACCCGCAGTCGCTGTTCACAGAAACTGCACCTATTCTATCTTGCTGCTTTGGAGATGTAAGTCCCTATGTCGCAAGCAGGAGCGTCTTAGGGTGCCGTTTAGGCCAGCCTTTATTTGTTGCACTTTGTGAGGCGTACTTGTGACTTTTTGTCAGACAACACAGATGCTGCTTACAGCGGGATGCGACAAGCAGGTGAAGGCGTATGACCTCATCAGCGGCCGGACCACAGGGCAGGTCATCGGGCAGGTGAGGTTAACTGTTTTAGCTCCCCCGCGGCTGAATTTTACCTACTTGAACGACGCTTATAGCGTATATCGAAACAAGTCGTATCTGTTGCTGTGTGGCTTAGTATTGTGACGATTGGGCCCTCTGAAATTTTTGCTCAGCATGATTCTCCTGTAAATTTCGTGGCATGGAACCCTATGTACAAGTTGGTTATCAGCAGTAAGCCAAAACACTATGGCAGTCGATGAGGAAGGCAATTTACATCTTCTCTGTTGCGGCGTTCGTAGCTGTTATTTTCGGCTGCTTTTGCCTGATGGAGTTCGATACAGCCTTGCCGTGCCCATGCAAAGCAAGGAAATTGTCTGTGCTGTGAGGGGTTGGCCACTTTCAGTAAATTACGGAATGCTTTTTTTTGCTTTCTGTGTGTGCGTCCTTTTTTCGCGACGCAGCAAGTTGGGACGGAGCTGTGAAGATGTGGGATGGCAAACAGCCCAACCCAGTTTGGCAGCAGAATGTTGGCGCGAAAGTGCGTAAGAGGGGCGCACTGACAAACAGGGTAGTTCTTAGCTACCAACCTTCTGCAGCATCACACTGGTTTGGTCGACATGAAAATAAAAGCCTCGAGATACCACAGGCTGGCACACAATTCTGTGGAAAACTCAACGTGAAAAAAGCTACTACTGGTCTTGACGCGGAGATGCATGGGCGACTTATCTAAGTTTGGTGATCTTTGTTTCCCTTTCTGTGCAGATATGCAAGGCGGCTTTCCACGACTGTTTCCTGGGGATTTGCGACACTTTTCATGACTGTTTGATTTTAAATGTTCCTCTTCTTTTCCAGCAGAACCAGATAGCCTTTCCTGTCACAACGCCGAGCGCTGCAGCTGCTGCTTCTATACCGGTCTTCACTAAGGCTGGATCTCAATATCAGAAAATGCAAACGCGATCTATTGCGTTCTTCCCCGACGACGCTTCACAATCACCAGGGGCTGCAATTGGAAGCGTAGAAGGCAGATGTAGCATTGTGTACATCAAAGAAGAACATAAGTAAGGCCCAAAATCCCATTTTTAGCGCTGCGCTCTTTTTGCGAGCGCTGCTTGAGCGTATGAGCAGGCTGCTGCGTCTCTCGCAGAGCTAATTAGGAGGGAGCAGTAGTCTGTTTGTGCTCGTTTATTTACTGCAGAAATATGGAATTTAGCTATCGCTGTCATCGGCAGGACGGGCCACAGCAAGTACTGCAGATATACTCTGTAAATGCGATCTCCTTCAACAAGCTCAAGTCGTTTAGTACTGGCGTACGTCCCTCGATCTCAGTTTACTGAGAAAGCAGGTCTAGTTTTATAGATGAAACAGTCAAAAAGGCGTAGAAGCCGAGGGATACTAGCCACTAAATAGCACTGCCTTGACTGAACTTGTTATTTTCAGGGATCTGATGGCATTATCGTCTGCTGGGACAAAGATTCGAGGCAGAAGTATGCATCCAGCTAGCGTAGAGCAGTACCTTCTCCGGGTTTGTTCAGAAGTTCATCAGACTCTCCCTGCATGTTTCTTGAGCATGTCATTTCTGGATGGCCGTCTGCGTGTCATCTTTTCGCTCGACGCTTTTTATAGACTGAAGACATTTGAACCTGCGGGCGCGCCGATAGCGGATTTGAAATATGACCCCACATCAACGGCGCTCGCATACGCTGTGTCTTACGACTGGAATAAGGTAGACGTCACAGTATTTTTACTTTTTTTTCCATTATCGTGTTGGAGGCCCTTCGCTCCTAAGTCGACCCAGTGGGTCTCCTCCCACCGACGTTTTTATGGGCAATCTTCTCTGTTTCTTCAGGGCCCAGACCAGCAAGAGATGGCAAAAGGACATCATGTTTACATTCATGCAGTAAGGATTTGCATGTTCCGAAACTTCACGTATTTGTTTTTCCGCTTGGATGCCTAGGACGTGCATTGTGCATTACCTCTTTGGTATGGACAGTAGGACAGAGCCCTATGCCCGGTACTGATTAAAGTTGTTTTTATTCGCAGATGAAAGAAGAGGACCTCCGCCCACGTCCGAAGAACACCCAGCGTCGCTGAGTTGCGACTTTTTTCTTTTGTTAGCTCTTCGGCGGCTCCTGTCGTGAGCAGCAGCATTTCAGCCGGCGAAGCTGCCAGCCCAACACCACGGAATTCGTGCAGCTGACGCCGGGGCGTCACTCTGTAAAGCGCAGCGTGCAAATATGCAGAAACTCTTAGTGACTTCAGCTGCCGCATCGCCAAACTTGGGCCGGGAACCTCGCTGTTCCGCAGGCTGCTGGCGTCACTGCCATACGGGCAAACTAGCGGGACTGCGATGTTTGTTGCAATCAAATTGCAACAGTTAATGAGCAATATATCGCAGAGTTTACGTTCGTCTTACGCTTTCGGGGCGCGCAATTTGCTGCTGCGTGACTAGAGTGAGCTAGATACCAGATCGTTTCAACTTGCTCGGGGCTCTGCAAACTGCGAGTTTAATCGTAAGCGAAGACGTTCTGGCGCACCTCAGCTGACCTGTCAAAGCCAGCGGGGTTTTGTAATACAGTGCATTTTGCAAATGGTCGTATGGTCGCAGCAGCCCGCCGCGGCCGTGTCCTTTAAGCTGCAGCAGCCTGCAGCTTCAGAGGCACACTGGACTTGAGAGTTTGCTCTGTTGGTGTCCTGCTCGCCATGCCAACTTTCTCCACTAACAGAGCAGCGTAATAACGCTCTTTTGTCGTGCTCGAGGAGTTGCTACTTGGTGAAAATGCAGACTGCTGCCGTGCTTGCATGAAGTTGGCTTCGTAGCTCAAATTGGGACGAACCAAGAACCAGAGAGACTGCACCGTTTGTGCAGCACTAGTTTGCTAACCGGATTGTTAGTCTTTAAGTACAGTTGTACGTAATGGTGCCACCAATCACCTGGCGTACGGCGGCGAGTAGCAACTGGTGCTAGTTGCTCATACCCAAGAATGGCGCGCTAAAGGCGAGTGGAAAGTTGCAAGCAGCTTGCCAGCAGTAGGCCAGGTGCGGCCTGAGTGAAGAGTGAATGAATCACTCAAAATACCAGCAAGGAGCCACGTAGTGTAATTTGATGGAAGCTTGACACAGCCGACTGAGCAGGCTGCCCCTGCACAGTTAATCAATACGGTTTTGCAGTGTTTTATTTCGAGGTATGTAGATGAGGGCAGGGGGAATGCAGAAATCCTTGCTGCATCTGCATTTCTTTTTCCGGGGGGCACGTAAAAGGCAATGTCGTACCGTCTCTTCAGGACTTGCCTACTAATTTCAAAAAGAAAGAGTTTGGAAAGCCGGCAAACGGCTTTTGGTGCTTTTAGGCTCGAGTCAGTGGCGTTTCGTGAGTCAGTGGCGTTTCGTGAAACGACGCAACCTAAATCATCAATTGTCGAACTTGACTCCTTTTCTGGACATGCACAAGTACATATTACCTTTGGGGATTGTCAGCGCGTCTTATTTACTGTTTATTCAAATCTTTTTCGTTCCGGGAGACTGTCCTGAGGGCACTTTTCCTTGGGAGGCGTGCACAATGATTCCGGTGCTGAGCTCCCTCCAGTTTGCGCTTCCTGCACGTGTATGAAAAGCAAACCAGGTAATTCAAATAAAGAAAATTCAAAGTATCTGTTTCAACTTACTGCCTGGAACGAGCCAGTGCAGCATACAATAGTCATCTGCTGTTCAAATCTGAGCTGCTCCCAAGGCATTCCCTCGTCGGTTCCTTGCAGCGCACAAAGGAAAAAATTTGCGTGTATGGAGTAACTAACAACAGGCGCTTAGTCTTGAGCTCCAGTTTTTGTAGGTAAAACCATTCGCGTCAAGTATTTTGAATGTACGAAGCAGTCGTTGAAATGTAACGTGGCAAGAAGACCCCGGAGCATTACATCAGTGACGAGATGCAACAAAGTGAAAGTTCCACATTTATACGGCTAATCAACTGAGCTGTGCGTAATTCCTGTCTCACAAATTAATAAAGCTATCAAGAGAGCGACAAATGCTTGAAAACGGAACTTTACGGCGCACTCAGCAGAAGGGAGGATCTGTGCAGCCAAGTCCGCCGCGTTATGCAAAACAGAGCAGGCCGATTTGTTACTTTAGTGAAACGAGACACGGGACAAGAAAGCCTAACCGCATGTACTGTTGCTCCCAAAACCGCGTGGCCTTCATTCGAGAAATTGTAAAAGCTCACAAAGTGTATTCGGCGCCAAATCTTACAGTAAAGCGTACAGTACGGATCGCACTGTCAAGCCTAACGCGTATATTCAACACACAAAAACATGCAAGATGTATCCTGATCGCTTTGAGCACGCAGTGGATGTGGTAACAGGAGCCTAGAGCAAGCCTCCGCAAGCCCGCCTCCAAATTGCAGAACAGGACTCAACAGAACTTGCGGCTGGTTACTCGCCAGCATTCAGGCAATATATTGCTAATTACAGCAATTTAATAAAAGCTAAGAGGGGCTTTAGGACGTTTAGACAATCTCGTTTTCGGTACGCAGTCCACACAGCGAACAGAGGACGACTGAAGAAGAAAAAGAGTCGGCTTCTGGTTGTTTTCCTCAAATTTGCCCCAGTACAATACCGAATTCATCTTTTAAACTCAAATTTCGATTTTCCTGATGTTTTTTTTACCTCGGGCCAATAAATTTGGACGGTGTGCAAAGGTTCTCCTCTCTGAGCTTGCAAAAATACAGATTTTGGCCATCTGTGTCCTCCCTCAAGACGCCATTGAGCTCGGCACTTGAATTTGGCAGAGTAAACAGACAAATCAGTGTAACGCAAAAGACACAGATACTTCATTGGTGGCGCTTGATCTCTACGGGGGGCCCTCGATGCTTGTTTACCTACAACAGGCGCATCCTAGACGGGTTTGCCGAGTTTCTATCCTAGAAGAGGCAATCTTGCTGCTTCAAAGGCGCAACAAGAAAGTTTCCCCTCAGGATAATACGGCTGAGGCAGGGACTTGTCATAGGTCGTTTTTTCCCCATGGATCAGAAGCGGGTGCCGACGTGCAACCTATTCTGACACCTTCAGCTGCGGTCCAACGCACTTGTTGGACTATACAGACTAATCCTGCAGCAGAAACAAGCACTAAAGTGCTTTCTTGCCCAAGCATTCCTCTCACGCGCTTCAGGAGGTCCTGGGTGTGTAGGGATCCTGGGCATTCAAAAGGGAACAGGAGATCCGTGGCACTAGATTTGGCTGTGATGGCGACACCAGATGGTCCACAAGCAGCAAGCAGGCTTGCGGAAGAGTCCGGAATGCAGAAATCATCGTTGGGTGATGAGGATCCTCTCGTTCAATACGTGGTACTGCGTAAGGACTTGACCGTGAAGCTGAACTGGCCTCTGGGCGCAGTTGTGGCTCAAGCGTGCCATGCTGCGTAAGTCGCTGTGTTGCACTATACGTGGATAGCACCGCTGACGAACGAATCTTGCATAGCCACTCTGTAACTGTTTTCACTGCTTGTCCTAAACGAGTTAGGAACGAATCTTGCATAGCCACTCTGTAACTGTTTTCACTGCTTGTCCTAAACGAGTTAGCCTTTGCAAAACACAACAAAGAGTTCTCACAGGAAATCGCGCTTACAACTGCTCCCGATGACCCTGCGCACCAAATTGCCAAATTTTAAAATATCCCGTGAGATTTGCTTGTCTTCGAGGCGCTGCGGGCTATCGGTGGCGTGTTACTATCTCTTCAGGGTGGATGCGCTAGGGATTTCCATGATACGAGACGGAGACGAAGCCAAGACATATTTGGCTGCCGGCAGTAGCATGATAACAGTCGTCTTGCAAGTCCCAGGTGAGCCTGAATTGCTCAAGCTTCGGGACAAGCTGCAGCAGAGCCAAATCGGCCATTCGTTATGGAAAGAAGAACCAGAGAAAATCCCGACGGCATTAGCATCTGTGCCGATACGAAAAAGTGCTGGAAAGGTCTTCAAAGGACTAAAACTTTTGTCATAACGCATTCGGGCCGGCGGAGTGTGAACGCCTGTGCGGGCGACGCTTTCTATCATTTACACTTTAAGCAATAGCGGTAGTTTCTTGTGTTGGGCAGTAATGTGAAATTTGCGGCTGCAACCGAAGAAGCGAGCAGTTTTGATTGTGAGTACCTTGGAGTGGAGAAAGTTGTGAGTAACTCGTAGGGGCAACTGTTACGTTCGTATAAAGCACTGGTGAAGACGCAGCACTGTAAGGACAGGAATCTTCCACTGATGTACGCTAGTTTGCGTAGCGGTAGCCCTGCTCTTCATACCACTAGCAACGATGCGCCAGTTGCACTGGTTATAGGACCTGCTTGGAGAGTTGGCTTCGTCTTGTCCGCCGAGGTTGTGCGCTCTTTTCTGGGTCCCTCACCGCCGTGAGGGGACCCTACCTTCAAGTAGTAATTGCTACGGCACAAACCGAGCAGCACGTGAAAACGGCCTCCACAGGTTTCCCATCTGGTATCGACGACTGCTGGGGCGTTCGTCGCACATCAAGCACTGAAATGGCTCTTCTCTGGGTTAAAAGCTTCTTCCAGTGCCTGAGGAGCTGTTCATTTATTCACACTAAGGGCCAGGCAATGTATGCTACTATGTTCCGCGGGGGTGTCGAACCACTCACAAGACACTTCAGTCCATTCAGGAGATGATAGCCTCCAATCTGTTTGAAGTCGAGCCGCATGGGAACTACCACTTGCATATGATGCAAACTCGTTTTTGGAGTGGGCCACGACGTAGAACGGAAGACGCATGGTGCTCACGCTCAGTAAATAGGTAAAGGCCTCTGCCTTCTGCATGTGGAGCCGGTCGGCGGCGCGATTGCAGGGTGGCCAAGCCATTTCCGTCCATGAAAGCGCAAAATGTATACGTTTTTCGGTAATTAATCTCCGTTGCGGATGATAATTCAGTCAGCTTGCAGCGTCGGACCCGAGATCCCTCGATTTACGCCCACTGCTGTGGCATTGTGGGAGAGGGGCCCTACTAGGCAATTCGTCAATGTGAAATCATCCTCGCGCATCCTACGAAGAGCGCATACGAAATTGTGTACAACATGGAGGCCACAAGCAAACTCTATGGCACTTATGGGTGCTGTTCGGGGTAAAGTTGTTAATCCCCGAAGCAATGGCGAGCCTTCTGTACGAGCAGTTGAGGGGGGAGCACGAGGTCAAGGCAAACACTCAAAGCACTTCTCCCGCTGTTTAAAATGGGAACCAACTTACTTGCAAGCGTCTTCTCAATGCCTTTCAACAGGAAACCTACATCAGAGAGTCGCCATGCGTCCACACCAGCACCTGCCAGCTGGCTGGCACTGCGAATGCAAAGCACAAATGATCCGTTTACAATCCTTCTCAATCATGGAACGGTATAGGAGGGTCTGTCAATTTATTTTGCTCAATTTAGCACTTGCACCGGCTTGAAGCAACCTAGAAGAGAACGCGTGGCATGCTGCCCACAAGTTGTTGAGTGGATTCCAGGATTTGAATGCATGCTTTTCTTGCCCACAGGCGCGGGATGAGCTCAACGTAGTACCGCCTGTACCTTTCACAGAGCCACAAACAGCTACAAAACCACTATCAATAAACATTTCAGGTGGGTAGCTTGTTTCCACCGCATTTCGCAACAGTCTTTGCCACAAGCACATTTCTTGCTGCTGGTACATGACCAACTCTGGAAAGTTACCTTTTACTATTATAGGTATATGGGTCTGTAAGTGTTGCGCATTTCCGGGAAGTTTTGCTGCTGCTTTCTTTTTGTAGAAGCCACACCCTCCTCTGTGCGTCCAAACCGCAGTTCCTTTTATTGGCCTGCTGTAAGAGGTCCCATTCCCGCGGAAGTAAGACATACACAACGAAGCATGAAACAGTGGCAGTACTTGGGCAGTACCAAGAACACAACTATATAAACGTGAGAAATTTCTTCTCTGGAAGCCATTTTGGGTGCTTTGTTTACAGGCACAGTTTACTACGTGGGAGCCGCCACTTCAGCCTGAGCACCCCAAATCTCTAACTATAGCACTCATTGGCCCACCAAATGCAGGGAAGAGCTCATTGCTGAATTCATTGCTTGGTGTCACCGTTTCAGCGGTATCCAACAAAGTGAATACCACAAGGTACCTACAACAAATGTGTACCACACCGAAAGAATTTATATTGGGTGCTTGCAGAAGCAGTTTTAGTTGCCGTGAAATACATATCTTCTGTTTGTTGCAGAACTGACTTTCGTGGAATGGTTACAAAAGGAAATTGCCAACTGGTTTTCGTCGATGCTCCAGGTGACTTCTTGGAATTTGCAACGAACCAGCGTTAAAACGCGGATGCGATACGGTGCTTGGAAATATCTGATGCTTTGTGCTATTGATTTCTCGAGTGAAGAAATAGAGAAAGGGGTGGCTGTCAGAGCCTTGACTGCTATGGATCTATTCTGTTAACGCAGGCATCATTGGGTCCCACCCTAAGAAGACGTTCTGCAAAGAGCTCGTGAATGCTGCGTGGAGGGGTTATGTGAGTCTAACAGCGGATGCGCTGTTGTGTTATACTCTTGTCGAAGCACAGGCTCCTTGTGAAAGTGGCACATACCTTCCATGTGTACGTTGCTGCTTCAGGATGATGCAGACTTGGGAATTCTAGTGGTGGACACTGTCAAGCGGCCCACACAGCAAATTTTTAATGTTGTTCGCGCTATAGCCCCAAAACCATGTCTTTCTCGATTTGGATTTCACCGATCGGGCAAGTTTATCGCGGCTTGTTAAGAAAACAGTAGAACTGTGACAGGCAACATAACACGACTTTGGCCGCGCACTCGTGTCGATTTCTGTTACTTTTAGCCCTTCATGAAGGCGATGTGATGAATTGGGGATGCGTTCGATATGTTCAGCATCCGAAGATGAGTCAACGAGTAGCCTGACGTGCTGTCCATCCCTGGATGAAATGTGGGAGGCAGGGATTCCAGGAACATTGCGCAAGCGCCTAGCCAACGCTGGTGATGTTGCTGAGCTAGATGGGCAACCACAGCTGATTCCCCTAATTTTGTGCCTTAACAAGGTACACGCTCATGAGTCCGTAACGAAGGATTTGAATCCTTACCTGTAGTGGGGCCGCACGAAGGACCTGCATCCAAGGCATTTCTGCCCTTTGCGGATCTCAGATTGATCTGGCATCCCATCCAAAGTGGATACACGCTAGGGAAAAAGAGTTTTTGTAAGTATGCCTAGTCTGAGCACTAAAATAAAGAGGAGCATTAAATCCCATAGGCGACTTCAAGCAGTTTAGTGCTGCAAAGTGACGCCTCGGCTTTTCGATGCAGGTCACATGGCCAGTTTCAGAATACTTTCCACATCTCAGCCAAATACAAACGAGGAACTGACTCCTTGCTAGATTATCTTGTTAGCGAGGCCATTCCACGCCCATGGGCTTTTCCTTCCGAGATGGTATGTGCACGGGGACTAATTCGAAATTATTCATATTTTTGCTGCAAATATGGACTAACCATTTTCCTTCCATTTTTTGCAGTGAAGGACTGACCATTTTTGCTTTTGCGGCGGCGAGTTTCCTCTGCGCTTCTGTGCTATATCCGCAGCGAACGAGCCTCTCGAAAGTAGAGCAAGTCGAAGAGTTTATCAGGAAAGCCTCATTTCGCATTTTATGTTTTTCTTCCTCGGTTTCCCGGTCTTAGATTTGCTTAATGTTTGACGCTACAGACCTTGTTTGAGTTTGTGTGGTTGAGCAGGACGTATTTGTTTTGCTGGTTTAACAAAGATGTCCCCTATCGGATTGATCAGCAAACAGTTGGATGGACATATCGAGATGGATACGTAGTGATTGAACATGTAAGAGGTGCACACAAACCTCTGTTGTTCAGGATGAAGAGTATATGTTAGACTGTTGTGATCTGCACTCTGCTACTTGCTGCAGGAATTGGTGGTGAAGTCTGAGAAAGTTGCAAAAATGATTTGTGGCGTAAGAGGTCGTATTCTTCTGCAGATGCGGAAGAATGTTACCTACAAACTAGAACAGTTATGGGGTCAAAAGGTGAGACTAAACATATTTGTCAGAGTTTCAAAACGCTAGGGTTTTCCGCTATTGGGTTACAGTACTTTTGATTTCTGTTCTCTGAGTCGCATCTTTGCCCCAGGAAATCGAAATATTACTTGAAAACGAGGGAATAACCTCACAAAAGGCTTTGCCCATCGGAAAGTTATTGTTCGATAGTGTAGCTCTTCATCATGAAGGTATTGAGAGAATAGTAGATCCCGAGCACAGACGCGAGGTAGACTCCACCCAAAGTGAGGAGTATTGTAGCACTCCAGCTCAAGCCTGATACAAGTTGATAAACGCCATTCACGAAGGAATAGAGTGTTTTTAGAACTTACCAGTTGGGGCGCGAGGCAGATGACGATGTACAAGCTCTACGCCTGTTGCCACTGCTGCCGCCGGGGAGCCGGTAGAGAGGAACACGTGGTTCATTGAACGTTGTACGTGTGTCTTGAAAAGAGCGCTTGCAACGCGAGTGTCCACATTTTCTGTTTAGTCATTAGCTTTCGAAGTTTAATCCGTCGCCAGTGCACTTCAAACATACCTCGAGTGGCGAGGCTGACAGTTTTCAGGTTTTTGACGAAAGCCAAGACGATGCCATCGTGGCAGCCCTTGTTACCAACACCCCAACGCCTGAGAAAAATCTCTAGATTGAGCTGGCCAAGTTCAGCAACGGGAAGTTTAATACCTGAGCAGTGATTCAGCGAAGCGATCGGTTGCTTCTTGCGGTGTCTCGTTTCCATTCACAGCAATATCTGAGGCGACAGCTACAGCAGTCTGCATTCGAATGATTCAAGTTGGAGAAGCTTCGGAGCCAATGATTCCTACTTGGTAGTATTGGGAGTCTCTGCATGTGCTTGGTGCTGTGTCGCGAAGCTTGAGGAGACGCGCCTCAACGAACTTCTGCTCTTCAGGAGAGAGCAAGTGGTCGGGGTCGCATATCCACGAATGTGACAGGCTGCAATTTTACGTTTCAATGTCGCCGTAGTATGTGATTTGTGAGCAAACTGATTACTCTACCTTGAAAAAGCGACACATTTCTCAGGCTGCTCGAACGGGCTGGGGAAAGACGTGTCTGTGTGCATGGCCACGTCAAAAGTCTGGTCCAATTGTCTGAATAATCGCGTGAAACAACAAGTATGTGGCAACTTATGAACAGTCAGTCATACGCGTGCTGGCTTCTGCGAAGAGGAGACCTTCCCTTGGATGGCCACCAAGCTTCAGAACTTGTTTCCTCAAAGGCTGGCGCGACTACAGAGTTCTTGTTGAAGCGGAACGGCTGGCCCATTTGAGTGTAGCCATCGGCGATAGCCTTCGCCGAAGCGCTAGAGTAATGGGTGCCAGAAATGGCTATGAGGAAAAGTGACTTCCACATTTTAACGAGATTTTGTGCGTAAGAAGCCGTGGAAGAGCGAAGGACGAAACTCTGGAAGTAGTGGCGCGGATCCAGTGTGCAAGACCCACTGATTATCTCAGGTGAACGTACACCGCAGAGCCACGCCGGCGCTCAGTGTTTGACACTTTTCGTGTTTTCTGCATCGGTAACCCCCGGTGTTGCATTGGGTTCCAGTGTATTCATGTTTTCCTTTCCTCACTCTACTGCTTGCCACACGAACGTCTGTCGGTGCAACATGAGACAGGCACAACTGCCACGAAATAAATGACAATTTGCGGAACACCCACCTGAAAAATTAAACTTGCTTTTAGGTTTGAGTGTAGTTGGATCCTAAATGCTCTTGCACATTGGGTATTTCTCCCGTGTCACACGTGCAAGACTGTCACTGGATCGTCCTTCATGTGTGTAGTTAGCTCATTGATCTTGATCCGAAAAACTGCAATCCATTTCCCTCTTTTAAGTAAATGTGACTGCAAAATATTGATATATTAGTAAGAAATCCGATATGGTGGAGCCACAGATATTACAGGCTGGCATAGAACGAACGATCAGTGCACATGCGAAGAGCCAATCTGTTGAACGATCTGTCACAGAAGTGTCTTCTCTAATCTTCCCCTTGTAAACTTCGTTATTCCTCTATCCAACTCAACAAATACTGAAAGTACTTATACTTGCGGTGCTATTCATAGCGAATGACGGCCTGCTTAGTTCTGTTCTCTCTCTCCAGTGCCTAGACCAACGCTCGCTGTTCTGTTTTACTGGCTTAACCTGGCCCTACGCTGACCTTCCTTCACATAGAAGGGCAACTCTTTTGGAGTTCGTGCATGTGAACCTTGCTGCCTGCGATTGAGCCCCCGAGGGCTCTAAATTTCGCTGGCATTGAACTGGCTTCTGAATGAATTAACAACTTGGCAAGACGCGGAACCTAGCACTTGGTATGCGACCGACTGGGAATGACCTGGCCTAGTAATCTTCCTTGTCCCTTTATCCCGTGGGTTTCGGCACGGTCGCACAAGGCACGATGGAGGAGTACGATGGCGGGTTCCTTGCGACTGAGCATGAACACTCTGAACACTCTGCTGAGGGCTCAGAGGCAAACACAACGTCTACATGCGCATTAGGAGCACACCCAGATGAATGTGTCAAGTCAGCTGATGGAAAATATGCCGCCTGGGTGGACGAATACAGGGATGAAGCCTGTAGGGTTGTTTACTACCCCGACACTTCAGCCATTCCCCGCGTAAGTTCTTCTTTTTGACGGAAATCAAGTAAGCAGCGCGTTTCTGCCTTCATCTGCCTTGCTGTGTGCATTTGTATGCGATTTTTGTCCAGTCAGTTCTTGCGGTCTTCAACGTGTGCGTGAACAAGAGTGGGCTCAGCAGCGCCCTCCCGAATGCAATTTCCGAGAATAGGAAAGCGTTTGTAACACAATTCCACTCCACTGTTCGAAATATGGCAATTGCTGGAACTAATTCAGATCCACCTGGGTCAGCAAAGTCTGTCGCTGAAGGTCAATTCCCTCACGGAATATCCTCGTGGTCCAATCTCAAATTGCTTGAGAATGGCAGTTCTCAGCTGCAACCGACGTTACTCATCTCAGATACAAACCCAGCGGCTGCAGCAATAAAACTGCCCCCACCTGCGCGGCTAGGAGTAGCCTACATAGAAACAATGCCTTACTATCTGCTACCTGCCGTCATCGGTCTCGCCATAGCAGGAATCTTGTTGCCCTTATTTCTCCTCCTTTTCTGTTTACGGAATTGCAAAGCCTGCAGGAGGTACATGCGTATTTTCGGCCCTAAATGGCCAGAACACTATATTCCCCTAACTTGTCTCTGTACCGAAAAAACTGCTGTGGAAGTATCTCCCTCTGTTTCTCAGGCTGTGCAGTTGCTTCTACTGCATTCGGGTATTTTTCAAGCTGACAAAACGCCACCGGATAGATATGGAGAGATCGAATTCCAGTGGCAACAGCACCGCCGCTTCAGACTCTCCGTACCGAGGAAGCGTCCGCAAATTAGTACCAAGGGGTGCCTGCCTAGGTCTGAGGTACCTGGTGCTGATTGCGGCAATACTTGCAGTGCTAGTTGCTATGGGAATCGGAATTTATGTCATGGTAGACCTTCGAGCGCAGGTATCTCAGCTTAGCTGCTCGGCTGCACAAGCGGCTTCAACCATCATCAACGGCCAGACCTTTGCAAATCCGTCCGCGCCCTCCATTAGTCCCGACAGAACCACCGCTTTCATTTCGCCCTTTTCAGCTCCTTCCCCTTTCACTTCGGCGCTGCTTTCTGCCCCGGCGGCTGCTGTTTCACCACGGCTTCCCTTTCCTTTTGCTGGGCAGCCCAACAGTGCCGCTCCCACCGCATTTCGCCACTTGGAAGATGCATGTACGTGCAAAACTTTCCACACCATCATTTCTCTTGTCTCGAAGTAACAACGGTTTAGACATTTACCTCAAATAGTTCATTTACGAGACAAATGGCAGCAGAACACTCTTGCAGCTTGCTTCACTGGTGCAGACGAAGACGACCCGAGGCTGCTGCAGGAAGAAGAAACAGCAGCAGCCGAAAACGAGACAGCTCCGAACCGCACAGGCTTCGTTGGGGCAGTCCCAGCACTAGAATAGTAAGCAAGCTCTTCCTGAACAGCCCTAAACGCACCTGCTACACTTGCTGCCGGAGGCATTTTTATCTATTTTTATCTATGTTCTCGCGACCTGTAGCGCTGCTTTCTCTACGCAGTTTTGAAAGCCTCTCAGTGGCTTTGGATCCTCATCGCGAAGACTCCCTGCCTAACCAGCTTCGGAGCGCCAGCGCATTGGCATTTCAGATAACGCAAACAATGGCTGACGTAAAGGACAACTTGCAGACGCTACAGGAGGTGCGTTAATAAATGGTTCGCTCTACCTTCAGTGCCAGATTTCAGCGATTAAGGTGAATGTGAGCTGTGTAGCGGGGGCCCAGGAATACTTCGATAACCTTGCCTCTGAGTTGCACGAGATCCTAGCAGATTGACTTTTTCAACAGTAAGTGAAGTTCTTGTTACTGCCAAGCAAGGCAGTACCGCTATGTATGCTGACTGCCGTGCTGCTGTGCTATGTGTGCCAGACTTTGCGCAATCCCGCCAACAGCGGAATGCGGATCTCGGTAGCAGGGGACGCCTCAGACTCTCTGCAGGCCAGCTACCACATGTCGCCTTTGGGTTCTGCCACTGCCTCCCTGTTGAGCTCTTGGGAAACGGCTGTCCATTTGCTACCTCACAGCCTCCTGTCAATAGCGGAGGCGTCTGACAGACTGGCAGTGGACATGGAGAATAATATGCAGCAAACAAATAACTTGCCCTCTTCAACAGAGCTGCACAAGGCCAAAGTAGCACTCAAGGACACACTCGACACCGCTCATCGTACAGTGGGAAAACTTTCCAAACTTAGTGGACCGCTCTATTGGGTAAGGATTGCAGAAGCTACTAAATCTTATGGCTATTTGGCTATTTGTGCTGCTGTTGTTGCTGCTTCTTTAATTTTACGGCTGCTAAGTGGGAAGCAGCCGAAAGTGCGCACACTGGATCTGCGTAGGCGGAATAAATGCATGAAACAACAGTAAATGCGCAATATAACGATTTAGTGCCTGCTGTTGCTGTTGCTGCTACTTTGTTCAGGGCTCCATAGCGGTGTCTGCTCTGATGGGCTGTCTGCTGCTGCTAGCCTCCTTCTACATGTGCTGTCTATGTTGCTGCAATCGCGACGCGCTTGTAGACCGCAAAGGGACAAGCTGCGGCTGTTTGTTCCTTTTGCTTTTGGCATCTTCAGCAGGTAGGGTTGTACTCTTCGTGATGCACCCCAGCCTGCCTCCCACTTCAACGATTAGTCTATTATCGTTCGTTTGCTT